TGTGACTCAGCCTTCCAAGGTGGCCACTTTCTCTGAAGCCAGCCGCCTTGAACTCTCTCCAGCTCCACTCCATCCCTAGGCAGAATTAATTACTGCCTGCTCTAGTTTACCAAGGTATTAGAGTGTAATTATTTGTTCCCTCTTCCTGCTCACCAGCCAGGCTGGGAGCTGCTTTATGAAGACAGACTGCACCTTCCTCCTTTCCCAGGCCGGGTGCCTAGCCAGGTACTAAGAATAGAAATGGGGGGATAAGAATGAGGTGACTCACAGAAAGACAAGAGAATACAAGATCCAGTATTAAAAATAGGTAGGTTCTTCCCCACCAGAACTCTTTGCTCTTTTTTAAAATTTGATACAAGTAGAAGACACATCAGTGTGCTGAAAATACCTAATTCTAAATGCAGGAAAAACATGTCTTTAGCAAATCCCTCTACTGCCTTACCAGTCTCCAGACTGGGAGGAATTTACTGTCTCCTCCTCTCACATCAAGTCTTTGAAAGTGAAAAAAATCAGGATAGGCTCAGATGACCCACTGATAGTTATCTCATATGGCAACCTGCACTTCAAATGGGGTTTGTAGTTACAAGGTAATGGACTTCGGGAGACAGTGGGTGACACATACCATGGATGAACAGAACTAAAAGATCAGCTAGGTATTTTGTTGTTTGGATTTCAGGAGTTCTAGGTGTCACACTTGCAACTGCAGTCATACACAGCGCCTGGCTTCGGGATCACACCAGAAGCCTTCCTTCCCCTTTCTCTGTGTACCAATGACTAACTTCCACATGGATGTGATGGAACGGGACTCTGGCAATCACCTCATGGGCACAAAGGCAACACAAAAATAAATAGGGCACTGGTGGCTCCAGCCCAGGGAAGGTAGTGAACATGTGAACAATCTCAACAGCACTTAGGTGCAAACAGTTATGGGTAGGAAGTTCTGCCAGCCCACTCAGGATGAGTAATTCTGTGTGGGACATGTCATCTGACTGTGTGGTGATGGAAGCAATTGCTGACTAAAGCCAAGTCAGATGCAGTCTCCCAGGTCACTCTGCATCACCTCCAAGGCTTTACCTACCCCCACCCGTCACCAGCTCCATGCCTGGCATCTTAGCCCCATCTCCAGTCTCTTTGGGTACATAGTCAATCAGCTCAGGATCTCCTTGGTGTGTCTCACAGATTCCTCAGACAGAATGTATCACTCTTACATCCCCAGGACATCTCTTCCTTCACTTCATCCTCTGCTTCCTGAGTCACAACCCAAAATATAAACCTGAGCATCCTCCTCCTCCACTAACCTCTAAGCAGCCACTAAGTCCCGGCAATCTCAATTTGACCTTTAGCTGTCATTTCTCTCTCCATTCAAGCCCATGTCATCTTTCCTCCTTCAACTACAACAGTCGTAGAAACCAGTTTATTTACTCCAGACCTTTCCAATGTACCTACTTGTGCACTGGATGAGCTAGAAACAACGCACTATGGGTACTCCCACAAATGTGACATAGAACGTGTCCATTTTATGACACATTTGCTTATTCACTTACTGTGGTCTGTCTCTTTTCTAGAAACTAATGTGGTTATGGCACACACTGACCTCAACTCTCCAGTAGCTCAGACAGTCGTCTACTGCCAAGAGGATAAACTGGTGTCTACCGGCTTACCAACATCTGGCCAGTCATCCTCTGCAAACCTCTGTTCTGCCACTACCTCTCTTTCTTGTCAGCAAACTACCTGACAGAGCAATCGACAGATGGAAGGGAGGGAGGGAGGGTTGGTTGGTTTACTCTGGCTCACAGTTTGAGTCCATCAAGGTGAGGAAGTCATGACATCAGGAGTATAAGGCAGCTTTGCATCCGAAGACAGGAAGAGGGAAAGATGAATGCTGGTACTCTGACCTCCACACAAACATACACACACAAAGTAAATAAACATAATAAAAAATGTAAAAAGATGCATTCTAGTAACTAGACCATTTTTTTCCCCCAGAGCTGAGGACCAAACCCAGGGCCTTGCGCTTGCTAGGCAAGCGCTCTACCACTGAGCTAAATCCCCAACCCTGACCATTTTTTAAATAAACTTACTAACATGTTTCAATCTTTCACAGAAAGAAAAATTCCTGGGCGGTGGTGGCGCACACCTTTAATCCCAGCACTCAGGTGGATCTCTGAGTCCAAGGCCAGCCTGGTCTACAGAGTGAGTTCCAGGACAGCCAGGGCTACACAGAGAAACCCTGTCTCAAAAAAAACCTAAAAAACGTGCAAACCCTCTTCCAACTACAGCTCCCAGACCCTGGCATATTCTTCTAGGAAACATGTCAGTTGTTTTAACCTGCCCTCTGCAATTCTTCACCTTCCCATTCTCCTTGAATCCGTGAGGAGCAGGCTTTCAAGTCTACTCCTGAAACTGTTCAAGATCACGCAAATCTTCACTCAAACAGTGAAGATTTACCCAATTCGCCATTCCCTCCCTTTGAACATCTTTGCTTGGCTTCCAGGATATCACTGTCTTTTTCCCGTCTCCTATCTCAGTGACCTTCTCTTCTCCATCTCCTCTGCTCACTATTCCTCATTTTCCTGATCTCTTAAGGTCTTCAGGCTACAGGACTCAGTCCTGCCCTTCAATACAGTCTTCTGGCTTTACATATCATCTCTCTGTCTAGCTCTGCCTCTTCTACTCACATACCCAACAGCATATTCAACACTTCTACTTGGCTATCCAATAGCCACACAGCAAACCCAACACCCCTAAAACCAACTCTTGAAACCACTAACACAATCTGTTCTTCCCAGACTTCTCCATTTAAGACAACCGAGCTGGGTGTGCTATTTCACAACTGTAATTCCAGTTACTGTATGTTCAAGGCCAGCCTGAACTACATAAGCAAGATTCTGATTGGGAGTGGGGGGAGGGGCAAAAAACAAAAACAAAACACATGGTCTGGGCTGGAGAGATGGCTTAGCAGTTAAGAGTACTTCCTGCTTTTCCAGAGGATCTGAATTTGGTTCCCACTACCCATATTGGTGGCTCACAAACACCTATAACTCTCCCAGCCTGAGGGAACCTGAACTCACATACACATACTCACACACAGACACAGAACTAAAAATAAAATAATCTTAAAAAAAAAAAAAAAAGGCTGGGATGGACTTCCGTGGCACAAGGCCCCATGATAAAATAAGTAAGCAAACAAATACATGTTTAAAAAAAAATCAAAAACTAAGTCTTCCAGGTTATCCAAAAAAAAAATGACTGAGGTCATCTCTGAGCCCTCTACACACCTCATCTATCACCAGGTCCAGTTGGCCCTACCTTAAAATGTAACCTTCACCTGGGCCCAACTTATCAAATGGCCAAACCATTGTTGCAATGGTTTCCTAATCGACATCTTCCACTTTCAATGCATTGGACAGGTGATGCCTTTGTCCTTCAACACCTCAAACCATTGAACGGCTTCCTGTCTCAAGAGTAAAACCCCCCAGAGTTTTGGGGATCTATACAACCTGGTCATCTTTCATCTACCTGACCTCATCTCCTTCCACTGCCTCCCTTGGTCCCTCTACTTCAGCTGAAACGAATTCCCTCCTATTCACTGAACACACCATTCGATCCGCAGGCATTCCTACTTGCTCTGCCTGGACTAATGTTCGTCAGCTACTCACTTGGTTCACTCTCTCACATCATTCAGGTTATTGATCAAACATCACCTCATCAGTGAGGCATTTGTTGATTACTTAGAAAACAATTATCCTCAACCTCTCATCCCTGACGTCTCTCTACCTTACTCATCACTACCTTAATTTCTATAGTTTAGTAGGGAGTGACCTATGTATCACTCCCTATTCAAATTCCATGAGTGGAGAATTTTTATTTGTTCTGTTCAAGGCTGTATCTTCAGGGCCAACAGCAGTGCGGGCACAGGGAAGGTGCAAAGGGGGTGATTTGTTGTATGAGTAAAATGAGGAACACTATTTGCTGCTGGATTGTCTTCAGCACGCCATACTTGCGGATCCCATTATGGATCAGTGTCTGGTCAGAATTTAGCAACATTAAGTTGAACCGTTTTGTTTCAACGTTACTTTGTTTTTTTTTCAATTTAAGATACTGGGTTACTTGTAACAAAAAATGTTAACATATTTCTAAGTTTAAAAAGTGAGATCTAGCCGGGCGGTGGTGGCGCACGCCTTTAATCCCAGCACTTGGGAGGCGCAGGTAGGTGGATCTCTGTGAGTTCGAGGCCAGCCTGGTCTCCAAAGCGAGTTCCAGGAAAGGCGCAAAGCTACACAGAGAAACCCTGTCTTGAAAAACCAAAAAAAAAAAAAAAAAAAAAAAAAAAAAAAGTGAGATCTTTCCAAAAGGCAGGCAAATCTCTGAGTTCGAGCCTAGTTTGGTCTAAATAGTTAAGTTCCAAGCCAGGTAAGGGTTACATAATGACTGTCTCAAAATAAAACAAAACAACACCGTAATAATTCACAGTGCAATTAACATGGGAGTATGGCAAAATAGTGCAAATGGAATCTGCTAAGAATTGAGTCTAAATAAACAATGGGCCATTTTTAAGTGTATGTCCCGAATACTGCAAGTGGCACACTAAAATTATAATCTTTAATTCTATGTAAACTGGACTTTTATTTTTATTTTGCTAAATCTGGTTATCCTATTTTAGGAAAACAAATGGCACACTGTAGCGTCTATTTCTAGCAAAAGAAACACGCCAGTAAACCAGTACAATTCCGGGGTTATCTGCAGCCTGCGTGGCTTTTACGTCCCCATGGGTGAGTAGGTAGGCGGATTCTGAGGCCCAATGTCCCCAAAATCAAAACCCACGGTGCACTGTGGGAGAAAAACCCTGACAAGCAGAAACAGCAGGTCGGGTGGTGGCAGCAGAAGTGGGGGTGAAGTGGGCCGGATTGGGGCCGGATCCGAGCCCAGCTTCCTGTCCCAGCCGGTCAGTCACCTACTCGGCGGAGGCCAAGGCTCGAAAGCCACTTTCTGGCCCTTACCGATGTTGCCTTCGATGGAGAGCCTTCGGGGGCCGCCCCCGTCGTGCATGCCCCTGGCGCGTGGCGCGTCCATGAGCGCGTTCTGAGGCACGGAGCGGAAGGGCGCTCGGAGTCGACGCAGAAGCAACCGACGTGCGGCCATCCTACTCAAGCTCAGCGAGGCGGGCACTTCCGCCGAGGGCACTTCCTCCTGCCGTATTGCGGCTCGCGGCGCGCCTCTGACGTCAGAGGACCGTCAGGCAGGAAATGGCTGTTTTTAGCCGGCTAAGAGGCGCGCGGGGGTGGGGGTGCGGGGAGTGGATGTGGGCAAGGGACTGCTCTGCTCTCGCGATGTTTGAGGGGACGCTGTGGCGCTGTCTCGGTGTTTCGGTGTAGGAGGGTTTGTTTTAATTACATTTTATGGATGTGTGTATGTACACACATATACATATTTACTTATTTATTTCTGTGTAGGAGGGTTTACTGACTGGTGGAGTTAAGGCGTTTATAGACCTTTCGATGTTTTAATTACATTTTATATATGTATGTATATACACACATATATGCAAATTTATTTGTTTGTTTGTAGTGTGTGTGGAGTTCAGAGGACAATTTGCAGGAATGGCTCCCTGTTTTCACTATGTGGGTCCCTGGGATCGAACTTAGGCTGTCAGGCTTGGTGGCAAGCGTGTTTGCAAACTATGGTCTTGGGCATGCAAACCTTTGAATTTTTATAGACAAATCAAAATAAATGGAGGGTTTGGGATATAGCTTAATTGTAAAGTGTCTGCCTGGCATGCACAAAGCCCTGGGTCGGCTCCTCAACACCATAAAAATTGTAACTAAAAATCTTAAGTCACACTTATTTATTTTGATATTTTGAGACAAAGTCTCATGTAGTGTAATTGGGTCTGATCTTCCTGCCTCCCCCTCCCAAGTGGTGGGATTCCGTGTGTGCCATGCCTGCTGTGTATTATTTATGTGGTGAGGGTGCATGTGTGGAGGCGAGGACAACTTATAAAGAGTGTTCTCTCCTTCCAGCATGCGGGGTTCTGAGGGTCAAACTCAGGTTGTCCAGCTTGGCAACCAGTGTTTTTACCTGCTGAACCATCTTACTGGCCCTAAGATAAATGGCTCCTTCCCCCATACTTTGGGAGTTTATTGCCTACAGGAAGAAACTGGACATTTTAAGCAGGAGGGAAACAATTCAATAACTATACAAGGAATGCTTCTCATTCCATGCAACTGCCAGCATGACGTTGGACCATTATTTTTATGTGAAGCAATCAGCTTATTGCACCCCATTCTTATTTTGACTTTTTTTTTTAAAAAACATTTATTTTGTCTATGAATGTTTTAAATGTATGTATGTTCACTGCTACCCATGGAGGCCAGGAGAGGGCACCACATACCCTGGAACTGGAGTTATAGGTGGTTGTGAGCAACCATGTGGGTGCTGGAAACTGAACCAGGGTCCTCTGCAAGAGTAGTCAGTACATGTATATATATATATATATATAAATGTATATGGTGTTCTGACTGCATGTATGCCTGCAGGCCAGAAGAGGGCTCCAGAGATCTCATTACAGATGATTGTGAGCCACCATGTAGGTGCTGGGAATTGAACTCAGGACCTCTGGAAGAACAGCCAGTGCTCTTAACCACTGAGCCACCCCTCCAGCCCTTATTTTGACTTTTAAATAAGTAAAATGTTCACTCAAGTCACTGAAGAATCTCCTCGGGGTAAAGTGTTGGATCTTGGATGGGTTTGGCTCTGTGGGAATGAACCATGGCATGGAGGAGAGAGGTGCAAAGGATTTGGAGTATGATGTGCAGTGGGAAGAGAGGAGGCATGGGAGAGACATTCTAGAACATAAAACCTCCAGTCCTACAGTGATTGGAGAGCTGTGACCTTTGGAGCCCCAGGGAGAGACCTGAGCTGTGCCACCAGGAAGGCCTGACTGGCTTGTTTCCCCCCTCCCCATACATATACAGGTTGGCTAAATTCACATTTGTATATTTACTGCTCCCCACCCCTTTAGTAGATTGAAGGCTGGGGGTGATGGTAGCAAGGTAGCTCAGTTGATAGAGTGTTTGCCTAGCATGCACAAAGCCCTGAGCTGGACCCCTCAGTACCAAATCCCACTATGATGGCACAAACCTGTAATCCTGGACCTTGAGAGGTGGAAGCAGGGGGGTCAGAAGTTCAGAGTCATTCTTGGCTACACAATGCATTTGAGACCATCTTGGGACATGAGACTGTCTCAAAAAGGGGGAGGGGCTTGCAAGATGGCTTAAAGGCACTTGCTGCTAAGCCTGTCCACCTGAGTGCAGCAGTCCTCAGGTCCTACATGGTGAAATGCAAAAAACAACTCCTGAGAGGTGTCCTCTGACCTCTACATGTATGCCTTGGCACGAGTGTGTTCTCCCTCCTAAATAAATAAAAATGAAATAATTAAAAAAATTAAATATGTGGAAAAATTTAAGATAATCTAGGTGGGATGCTGATGGAGATTGGAGCTGCTAAATTCCACCCATTCCCACCGCCACACCTCTGTAAAAATATCCTTTACATTTCTTTGCTTGAATAAATTCAGAGCTGGGAAATACTTCACACACACACACACACACACACACACACACACACACACACCCAAAGTTTGAGGGGCTCTCTTTATCCTCAGGGTTGTGAAGTTCAATGAGGAAGTTGTCTATAGATAGAGGTAAATAGAGGCAACTAAACTCCTAGAAATTAGACTGTCTAAGAGTTGGTTTTTACAAACTCATAAAAACGTACTGAGGAAAGCCCGGTATGGTAGCTCACGTCTGTGATCCCAGTACTTGTGAGGCTGAGTCAGGAGGAGTGTTGCAATTCAAGCCCTCCAGGCCAGCCTGGGCTACAATGTGAGACCCTGTCTTAAAAAGGGGGGGTGTATTAAGATGAATCAGCATGGGGTTGGAGAGATGGCTTGGTAGGTTAAGAGCACTTGCTGTTCTTGCAAAGGACCTGGGTTAGGGTCCTAGAAAACTTTTTTTTCTTTTCTTTTCTTTTTTTTTTTAAAGATGGAATCTCACTATGTAGCTCAGGCTTGAACTCGGTGCTTCTCAGCCTTCTCAGGGCTTCAATTACAGGCATGTGTCATCCTGTCTATTTTTTTTCTATGTTTTTTTTAAATTTTGGATTTATCATGTGAATTAATAAACAAAAACATTTTTACCTAGTTGTCTGCCAGGTAGCCTGATGCCATTATTAGTAATGATCTTTCTATCCTTTATTTATATTTATTATAGGCTATGTCTCTCATAAAATTAATCATGCTATGCCGGGCGGTGGTGGCGCACGCCTTTAATCCCAGCACTTGGGAGGCGGAGGTAGGTGGATCTCTGTGAGTTCGAGGCCAGCCTGGGCTACAGAGTGAGTTCCAGGACAGGCTCCAAAGCTACACAGAGAAACCCTGTCTCGAAAAACCAAAAAAAAAAAAAAAAATTAATCATGCTGGGTATGGTGACAGTAATAACCACAGTACCCTTGGAGATAGAAGCAGGATAATGAGGAGCTCAGGATGTTTTCAGCTACATAAAGAATTTGAGGCCAACCCTGGGCTACAGAAGACCTGGTATAATTTTTTTTCAGTATCTCTTTGATTCCAATTCTAAATTCCTAAGAGAAAGAACTTGTGGCCAGAGGCTAGGGTCTCATGGAATGACAGGTGAACTGTGTTAGTTACTTTTCTTGTAGCAAGATGCCTGACAACAGCGTGTTAAGAGAAGGAAGGCTTGTTCTGGCTCTTGGTTTCCGACGGATTTCAGACCACGACAGTAGTGAGGAACAGTAGCAGTATGTGGTGGAGTCTCCTCTCATTACAGTGGACCAGGAGGCAGAGGGCACGGGCACAGCTGGGGGTAAAGCCAGGAGGGGGTATAGCTTTAAAGGCCCACCCCTAGAGACAGACCTATGTCCTCCAGACAGGCCCCATCTCCCACAGGCCTTCAAAATAGTGCCCTAGGTTGGGGAGAGATTCAAAAACATTAGCCTGTGAGTGACTTTTCAGATTCCAGCCTCTCCAGGGCACCTTCTCTATGATGAGAAAGGGCAATTAAAGGGTTCCTTAAGGTAACTCCTCCCCAGAGTAATTAGTTCCTATTGGCTGATGTCAATAGGGTCTTTTCATCCCAGCTCAGGTGCTGGCCAGAGGAAAGTTGTGACATGTTGTATAATGTGATTCACTCCTGTTTACCTTGGAGAATGAGGCACTTCCTGTTCCTAGTGGTTGTGAGACATAATGCATCGGGGCTGATGCTGTTCTACCAGAACTCTGGTCAGGAAGCGTCCCTTCACTCATCCCACAGTTACTAAGCATCTGCTATATGTCAGGTTCCCTGCTTGGCTTTCTGAGTGCAGCTCTGAATGATGGATTATTCTCCAAGTTCTTATAAATGCTGCTGTCATAAGTAAAGCTGGCTGACAACACATTAAAGACTATGCCATCATTAAAACGTGTGAGACAAATGTTCAGAAAGGTGGCTTTCTTCTGCTGTTTGGGCTTCTGTTTATTTAACATATGTGGAGTGTGTGCATATTCTTGGGTTTACATATACTTATATATGTGTGGTGCACGTCTAGAGGTCAGAGGACAACGTGCTGTGTGAGTTCTCGCCTTCTACCTCCTTCTAGACAGGATTTCTTGTTGTTTATCACCGTGTGTGCCAGGCTGTCTGGCTCATGAGCGTCTGACTATTCTAATGCCTCTGCTTCCATCTAGCTGTAGGAGCACCGGGATAACAGATGGGTGCTACTGCGTCCAGCTTTGTGTGCGTTCTGGCGATCCCAGCTCAGGTCCGTAGATGTGCGCTTTACCCACCAAACCATCTCTCTAGCCTCCTTTCAGATATTTTCAAGTCACAATACCTCTCTTTATCAGCAGATAACTTGACATCAGCTACAGAATCTAGAACAAGGGACTGGAGGACTATTAAGACCACTTGTTCCATAATTGTGAAGATTGGAGTTCAGGTCCCAGGATCTTGTAGCTTGCTAAATTTGTAGGCATTCCCACAAACATCTGTAATCATGGCTCCAAGGTGGGTGAGGACACAAGGATTGCTGGGGCTTGCTGGTCTTCAGCCTAGCTGAAGGAGAGACCCTGCCTCAAAGGAATAGGCAGAAAATGATAGAGGAGGATACTGGATGCCCTCTTTGGCCATATG